AAAACGAGGAATCGTGATAAATTTAACGAGTCGAGTGCTAGCCTCACTTAAAGAGTAGGAGTTTATTTGAAAGTTTTAATAAATATGCCAAGGGACACAACGGAGAACGCATCGTCGTCCTTCAGGCTGTGGACAAAGGTAAACAAAGACACAGCAAAACCACTGCGTCACCGACTGGTTTACAGCCTTGAGGTTCGCAAACATTTTACATAATTGATTAAAGACTGGCGTGACCAGCACTACTCTGTATACCACCAGCTGTGTGCAGCCGTTTATTGTCCAAGGGGATTCTAGAGGGAAATTCGAGGACTGACCGTTTGACTTTTAACAAAATTTCGAAACATCTGGCACTTTGATTCTTCCAACTAATAAATTTATTAGACGTAAAGCTTCTTTGACCGTATGATATGTACAAGACCGATATATTTCACACTAGCAATCAAATCTAAAATTTCGGTCCACTGCACATTGAGAATATCTTGATGGTACAGTACAATCGTAGCAATCACAGTTATGCTCTGGGAGTCAGGTGAGTAACAGCAGAAGTCCGAGTAGTTGACCAAGTCGAGTTAAGCCGTACCTCGAGCAGCTCAAACGAAACGATGTGCTGGACTGTGGCGTATTGTAAGGCTGCGTACTTTCTCGGGCAACACAATTTTGACTGTCTGATGATTTTGCGAGCGTGAGACGATTGTTTGCTCTTACTTATATCCTCTGGTGAGCGCTTGCCCTTTAGCCTCTGTTGAACGGAATGAATGGCTGCGCTGAAAATTGTGGGGCTTTTCTTAGTGAAGTGAGCAGCTCGTGGCTATTGTGAATTTAAGTCAGTTTATTCAGTGCCTACTTCATTTTACTAACACAACTCCTGAACGAGGCATAGTGGAAATTCTTAATTTTTGAATGCAATTATCAGAGTTACATAAATAATAGTAAATAATCTCTTTTTCACATTTTGCCGCATTTGTGGGTATTACCTGAATGTGTACTTAATTAATATTTCCAATGATCAAGATGCCAATTTCTCTAGTGGAATATGAATAAATGTACAAATAAGTCAATGTGTGAATTAACATTGATTCGAACTACTACTTACTTGTAGCATTGTAAGAAATGGTTTTTAAGTATATGTCACGTAAAAGTTTAGTAGTAAAGTGTATTATTACAAATAAAATTCATGTACATGTGTCTAATAGTTGTGATATTTAATGTTGAAAGTGAAAAGAGTTACTTTTCCGAGGGCTCCTTTTGTACCTCTTCTCTTTATTTACGACTAACAGCTTATTATATACGTCCAAAGCAACAGCACTTTAAACTGTTTTATGAGTAGAATATGATTTTAGTTGACGTGACAGAAATACGACGTGCTCTAAAATACCGTTTGTACAGGAAACGGAGGGGAAGGTCCATTTGATACTTATCTTTAGTGAGCAACAACAGTAGCAGGAGTGCATGTCTGCGTTTAGTCAGGCAAAATGAGTGAGGAAGAATAAACAACCAAAAAGCGTGTCCATAATATATGTCCAACGATTTTAATCTTACGATGAATAAGAGGTAGATAACACCTCGAGCTTATTGTTTTTTGGATTTACGAGAGTTTGACGATGCCTATCTCTCTCAGACGCACGAAAGGGTTTCTGCTATGGCTCTACGTTATCTTCTGCGTATGTGAGCGAAGCTTTTGACTCAGCACATGGTTTCAATGGTATCTTACCTTAAACTCCCTTTTTTCCTATTCGAGTCCCTCATAAGTGGTACGCGATTTACCAAATTGTCGTTTACGTAGGAGCGCGTTTCAGGTGCAATTACTTTTATTGGGTTTTAGTGTGACCACTACGCCTTAGAACACTGTTTTATCCCTTTTATCTATTTCATGAGCTACTGTTTACAGGCATACACGAGGGATTAGCATGACGGTGGATTGAGGACGTTAACTTTTTACGAGTGTTATTTATTGGATATGTAGTTTGTCTTACGAGGAAACATCTAAAAATAAGATTTTTCTGAAGATTACATAAATTAAAATTTTAAAAAATCCCATAAGATAAAGAAATATTTTCAACTACTCAAATAAAGTTTCAACCATATAATAAGTTAATCGAGACATCGATGTAGCGTTAATGCGTTAATTAATCCTAGCTAAACACCGTCAGCAATTAATTCAGCCACACGTGTCAGATAAAATGTGTATAAAAGCACTCGAGCAAAGGACCCCTCGCCACACTTCCCCAACCAGTATACTATATAGAGCGAGAGTCACAGGGACATGCCCCAGCCGAGAAATTTGAAAGCTATAGCCTCTAATGTGGGCTGGGGTGGCTGGTGGTGTTAGTATCTCCGTCGTGCGCGCTTGAACGCCAACGCAAAACCAATTCAGTATAAAGAGTAGTGGAGAGAAGGTGCGTTGTACATAGTGCGGTACGACGCGCGTGCGCTCAGGTGTCGCCGCTGAACCAGCCAAGGCGGGAATCTCGTGTGTACTCGGCTTTTACGCTAGTCGGCATTTGTCCCTCGCGAGACGCGCACGTGTAACGGCTATTCTGGTCATATTCTGTTGTTGCCCTGTTGTGGACGTTGGCTGGCTGCCAGTGATGGCCCAGTACACGATTACCGATTGTCTTTGTTGACATTTGTGGTTTATTGCTTATTTCGATGTATTTGGATTTTCATCGGTGCTGTGCTTATGTGCCAGTAGCTTTGGCTGCAAGTCGTTGCAATTGTTGGTTAATTGATGATGTTTTTTTCCTTCGAAAAATAGTTTGATGTCACGATTGTGCATGGAGTTTGTGACTTAAGTGATGAGAACGAGAGTTTTGGTGGAGAAATGTGAGGATCGCGAAAAACGAAGATGGAGAAGCACAAAGGACTGCTGAAAAGGTGATTAAATTGACCAAATTTAATAAGCGTGAAGCTGTGACAATTAAATTGTGCTTCAAGTCACGAAAAAAAATTTCCCTCAAGCTAAAAGATATTTAAGAGGTATTTCCATCACATCCCGTTTGTACTATACATTTTGTAAAAAAATAATGAAAATTATTTTTTTTACGAAATTAAAGACTTAATCGTTGAAATTTTAGAGCAATAAACACATCTCTCGCTAACCACGCGATCCAATCGTTTGGTGAAACAAATTTTGCATCACATGTAATTACAGTATATGCGAGCACAGTTTTGTGTAAAAATTTGTCGTATTAGTAGTTTTATTTCGTATAGGCTAGGCGTTACGTAAGGCAATCTTTTTAAAAAAGTTATTCTGCTATTATTAACACAGTAAAAATTATCGTTTGTAACTAATGTTTTTCAAAGTTAAATCTTTAAAGGTCCTCTTTTTTTTGTTTTTAGTTATTATACAATGTGAAAACTGTTAACAACAAAAGAGTAACTATGAATTAGAATTGAAACCTTTCATTACTAGTTATTAATTATATTTATAAAATGTAAAAAATTATCTCTAATAACACGCATTTAAACGTATCGTTAAAAAAAATATACTCTTAAATTTTATCATTTTCATATTTAAACTTTGACATAAAAAGGATCACCTACCGATCCTTATAAAAAAATCCATGTACAAAGTAATTTTTTATAAATTTTTTTAAATAGCTTATTTCTAGTACCAAAATTTTTCAAAATAATTATTCTTTTAATCTTTAATACCATTAAAATTCTTTTTTGTGAAACAAACAGCGCCATTGTACCAAAATTATATAATCGAGAGAAAAAAAGTTTGTTATTTATTAAAGCAGACATAAATATTCTTGTACAACTCTAGTCCAGAAAATATTGATTCAATTGGACAACAAATGAAAAATATTCATGAAAAACTTGCGTTCTTTCTGATATGTTGATATTCAAGTATTGCTACGTACAATTTCTCTTTACCATCTTGCATAATCAAGCAGTGAATATTGATTCCAATCAAGTACAAAAAATCAAAGAAGCGTATTTTTTCCAATCCTATTATAAAAGGGAGATATCGATTAGGATCAAATTAAAGGTTTGATTAAATCGAATCGAACCTGAGATTTTATAAGATTTGCTGAAGTTAGTTATAAGATGAGATGTCAAACTAACCTTTGGTGCGCATCTCACGCCCTTCGAGGCTAGTTTTTTAAAATTTACACAAAGCCACCAACGCGATCTTTTTGATTCGTTGGCTCGTCTTTTTTTATTTCTTCTACGAAAGAAATGAAATTGGAAGAACGATGAAAAAAAACACTCGCTCGAGTTTGTACGTACCTCTCTGGGATACTACATTTTAAAAATCCTTTTGCTGATGAGAACTGCACAAATTTTGCCTCTACTTCTCGCGGCTCCTGTTATATCTCTGAGAAAAAAAAAATCATAATAAAACAGAAATTACATTTCTTTTCATCTGTTAAACTAAGCAAAATTTTTTTAAAAATCAGCTCTAACCATTGTTTGGCTCACGATTCAATACGTGCAACAACATGAAACAATGCTGTTAATCAGAAGGTGGATATTTCTGAATGAAAGAACTGTGCAGCGAACAACAACAGCAACTGGAAAATCCATTGTAATAATTACCTTTTCCTTGGCACTTGAATATTTTGCTATTTTGTAATCCTCTTCTTTTAATTGTACTTCGTGTATCCATATATTTCTCAGCTCAAAGTAGAAACAACAGGGTCTCTTTACTTAATACACGTGCCAGAAAGAATACGAAAAGAACGATATTTCATTGTCACGTGTTCTTACTTCCTGGACCATCTGCTAGTGGATACTTGTACGTCAGTTTTAAGATCTTCCACGATTACAGAGCAAAACTTATAAAATTGTTGTGAAAAAAGAGCATATCCTCGTTTTACGGTCAAACTAGTAAGTAACGTGCCGTGAACACCTATGACTAATGATTTCCTGTTACTGAACCTTTTGAGGGAATAAAAATTTGGGCATTAGCAACTTTTATTAATTTTACATGTTACTGAAAGAGTGATGAAAATCTATTTCACCAGAAACGAGTATATTTAATTTTAGAGTAATAACAAAGCAGAAAATTAAAGACGAAGAAAAAAGGATTGGTGCGATAAAAAAAATCAAACATCTTTCATTAAATTAGCCAACTACATATTTTAATAAAAATAGTTATTTCATTACTTCAAGATATTGTAATAACAGATGTTATTTTGATTTGACTTATATTTCTTTAAAAGTATATTTAATTGTAATGGTAGTACTTCCGAAATTTTTGTAACGAGAAAACCGTTGTTTATTTAAAGCTTCGTTGGTGGTACAAATTAAGGAAACTGTTCTATGTTTTAAGCTGGTGGAATAATTAATTTGAAAAAAAATAATGCATCTTCAATGAAATAATAAACAGCTTCTGACATATTTTTAGAATTATTAAATCAATCTTGTGTATTAATTTTGCTTCAGGAACAGTGCCAGTGATGATAAAGTGGTGGATACGTGCAAGACTCCTGAGAGATATCAGCAGTAGAAGGTGGAAAGAAAGTATTACAGCATATACTTTTACGCAACACCTAGTCGGCGATAAAAGATACATAGACTAGCGAATTATGGGGTCTTCTTTGAAGTTGCTACTGTTATCAACGCTTCTTCTATTACTACTACTGCTACGGCAACAAGAAGGTGAGACTGTCACTCCCCCTCGTTATCCTCATTAGCTCGTGATCTATTTTTTTTTTCTTCGAATGCACAGAGTATTGTGCTCTTGGTAGAGAAAGAGAATTGAATTGAATTGAATTGAATAGTATCTTGGTAGAGAGAGAGAGAGAGAGAGAGAGAGAGAGAGAGAGAGAGAGAGAGAGAAAATTCCAAAATGCTTGCTGTATAATCAATTAGGATTGAAATGCACAGTTCAATGATTAATTTTTTTTCTCTGTACTTGTTCGATTCTTAGTGCTTAGCTCAGAATAATTGAATCTAGTTCGTGCTATTTTTACAATTTTTAGTATGAAATGTGCTCTGGAAGAAAACTATTTTGTCTGTCAGTTTAAAAAAGCACTTTTTAGAGTTATCATACTGTTCTTATTCTCAGAATCTTAAAAAAGGTCGCTGCTACAGAAGCCGCTTAAAGCTAAAGCTAACATTTTTTTATGGATTTCGATAAAAAAATGAATATTATTCCGTATTAAAAATGATGGATTGTCGTATCTCATAGTTCCTTATTTGAACTATCAAAGTTTCCTGTAAAACTGTCGTTAGTTTATTTTCGGTACACGTGAATAAAAATCCGTATTTTCGTGTCTTTTTTATTTACCAATTTCAACAAGAAAACTGAAATTTCGAGTCAAAAGATCTCCATTTCGCTGACAAATATTTCCGCAATTTACCAACCTCCCAAATCTTTTTAGAGTATATACTGATACTCTATCTGCCTGTAACAGCTTACTGAAATCACAACCTAAAGGATAGGAGCAGCTTAGGAATTCAAAAAGCTCGACAAGTATCTCTGCTCGGCTTGGAAACGTTTATTCTCGACTCCCATCGCACGGATATACACTGGAACATCTTTTTACAGATTTCTTATTTTTCAAATAAGGTATAAATTAATTTTCTTCAAGAATAACTTCCAAACTTCACGCAAGTTAGTGTCAAAGTATTTTTATTGGCTCACAATGAAATGTGACAAGCAAAGCTTTACCATTTCTAATTCTAGAGAGCATGAACAGAAACCAAACCAGTTGTAGGCCATTTGTTGCTAAACAGAGTTTCTCTTGGTTTTACCCATCTAGGTACTGCAGGATCACAAAATATAGAAAATAATTAGCAGTGGGCAGGCGCAGTGCGCAGGCGAGCGTGAGGAGTGTTGAAATGAAAATTTGAATATAAGCGATGCAGATGAAAAAGCTCATGGCCTTAGATAGGAACATAAAGTAGGATAAACCTGAAAACAAAAAAAAAAGTTCTAAAATTTTGTGCAGTATATGAATGAGAAATTAACGGACCATAGGATATTATTTTTAAAGTATAGCTATTAAAGCGCCTCTAAAGTCCATACAGCGACTATAAGTCAAACAATCTTTATACATGTAAGCTTATACTGTTGAGCATGGTTTTTTATGCGCAAACACAAGTACATATCCAAAGCAGGGAGGGTAGATACATGTGCAAAAAATATAATTTCAGAACTCCAAGAAGTTGGTCGATGGGCTTAGCGTGGATCAATAAAAGACGAGAGATAGCGAGAGGAGCTTCGTCCATCTTTGTTTCAAAAACAGCAGATAACGTCAACGTACATGTAAACACGCTGCGATGACATATACTAACGTATGACTATCCTTATGTATACACGTACATGAGAAAATAGATCTCGAGTTGCTGCTTTTGTGTACCATCATATATTCCTGTAAGCTTATGTTTACCAATTCATTGAAAGAAGCAGGGTCCAGTGTATATTAATAAAATAGACTGTCAGACTTTGCAGTGGTGTTCGACCAGGGGCTCTTTCATGTTATCCGTTATATCATTGCTTTCCAAACACATAGTATACATGTGTGTCATATATATTTAATAAGTACAAATGGTGAGAGCAGTTACCATACAATACGCTGCAAAGCAACATTTCAGTTTTAATACATTCATTGGATGTTGCAGCTGCACTGATGGTAATATGCGGGAGTAGCAGCACTGTTTTCAAAGATGTATTGCTATGGAAAATTTAGAGTAAAGATGAGATAAAGTGCCTCTGGGGGATAAAGTTTTTGTCAGGAATTCGGGGGGGGGGGGGAGCAAAAAGTCCATACCTTACTCTATTCCTTTCTTTTTATCCGACGAGACAACCGTTGATCTTACTGAACCTTATCGTTAACTCCGTATTCTTCTTCTTCAACCTGAACGAGCCTCAAATCTCTGTAATATCTTTTTTCGATAATGGCGCAATGGCTCTTTTTAAATAAGTGTTCCCCATTGACTTAAAAATGATTTTTCTCTGTAATACAGTTTTCAGCATACTTAAACAATAATGGAAGTTACTGGGTACAATTTTTACCATCGATCATTCTCCCTCTATAATAAGAGCTCTAAGGCATTATCGATAAAAGTATGTGCCTGTCTAGGACAAAAAAAATATCTGATAATACTCATCGTTTAACTTACAGCTACAAGTTTCATAACAAATGACGCCTGAGGACATTAGAAAAATGAATCTAATCTTAAAAAAAAATAGGCTTTCAATTTTACTTAGAATGTTTGAAATAAGTAGTAATAAAGTCTTCACTACGTATATACAAAGATTATCTGTAATAATTATCATATCGTAATACTCAGTATACAGTTATTGGATTATCAACATTCAAGATAATATTACTACAATTTGATATGTGCATTTGCTTACACACGATATGTGCATTTTTTCTTGATGCAGTGAGAGATACTAGCTCGTGCCCTTTCTTTGTCTTCTTTTTTTCGTATTTATATTTTACGAATATTGTGTCTTTTGATATTTTTCCTTTCAACATTATTGTTAAATGGTTACTTATCTGAATACGTCTATCACATGAGGCTGTTTTACGTCAAACGACGATCAAGACATTTCATTGGCCGTCTCTGTCGTCTTGAAAAAATTTCTGAGCATGCACATACAGTGCCTGTCTGACTATACCCAGAGTCATTCTACTGGTTGAAGAATAAGTTTAAAAAATGGTACAAAATTTTAGCAAGTACATAAGCAGTGTTCGTCTGACCATATAGTGAGTCACACTACTAGTTTTAAAAACTCGTTAAAAAGTGTATAGAATTGTTGCAGGTATTACTGCTGGTTAAAAAAACCCACCAAATGATATAAAAACATAATAAACGCATATTTGACGCAGGCTTGACTTTACAATGAGGCACACTACTAGTTTAAAAAAAAACTTGTTTAAAACGATTAGGTATTAAATATTAGCGAGCACAGTGCAGAGTCAGCCTGACTGTTGGGTGAGCCGTACTACTTGTTTGATGAATAAGCTCAACTGAGTTTTGATAATCACTGCAGTCGAGGCAGCATTGTTACACGAAATTACAACAGCATGTGAGTAACATTAAATCCTACATAAGCATAAAGTGACTCTGAGTCAGATAATGGGGATAAGCCGACTAATTGAATTGTTGATTGCGAAAATTCGTCGCAAATGTTTGTTTTGTGCATACATTTGTAATTATTTTGGACTGGTATAAACAACGCTCATTTATTTTAGCAAAAGTTTCTTTTATTCAGTGCTTGCGATCAAGCGATAACATATTTGATTTTGAAAAATTAAAAACATATTCATACTAGAAAAAAAACTTCTGCACAAAAACATCAATACAGCCAACGTCGTAATCAGTGGTTTACATCTGTGGGCAGGGAGTATAGTTTTTTCAATCGCATCCAGCTTAATGAAGTAAGTGAAGATGCAAGCAAAAAGTCTAAATGCACGTCCGATGAATAGCAGTATCTGTTATACAAATGCTTCCAGCATCATTAGCATGTATCTGCGACATATAAATAGAGAAAATGAAAAAAAAAAATAACTGTATTTAACATGTACATTATATAGAAACGCGTAAATTAAAATGCAGCAGAAATTCAACCACTTTCTCTACCCATCGAGCAAAATAAAATAAATAAAATAAAAGAGGAGTTGGTGGTTAGCGGAAATTTGGAGATAGCGCGCGCTCGTGTTAAGAATGTGAAAGACTTTTTAATAGGAGCTTGGGATTCGAGTTGGACAGCAGAGGAAAAGACGCCAAATATTTCGTTCAATACAGAAATACATTCTATGGATTTTCGAAAAAAACTTTGATGTCATCGGGAGTTTGGTATCGCATGTAACAAAGTACTCAAAAAACAAGTGGAGAGATTAGTTGTTACTACAGAATATGAGCAACCGTAGTCAACACGTCCGGTTATACTCGCCAATTAAGAGTTACTGGGTGTAAAAGTATACATATGAGAGAAGTTAAGAGAGAAAGAGATGTATGGGAGAGCTGTAGAATGAATGGTACAGCAACTGGTGGTCGATTCAATGTTGAAGGATAAATTGAGCAATTTATTGTGAGAATAATTTTTGATTGGTACTGTTGAAAGTGTAATCTAATGGACTGAAAATATGTAAAAAATAGGAAAAATGATATGAGGGTGAGAATAAGAGTACAAAGTCAGACGCAATGCACGAAGAAAAATTCCTGTGTGAGTCGTGTGCACAAGGGATTTCATTGAGTATTCAAACGCTAGAGTACCCCTATGGGTTCGCTTCTCGTCTCTTATTCACATATGTGCCAGAACTTACATTTCCTCATACACGTATGTATGTATGCTTGCGCTCTCGTGGATTAAAATTTCTCCATATTTTTTTGCTGGCTTCTGTCGATCTAAGTCTGCTATGGCTCTCCGGCATACGAGTACAAAGCTTTTGAAAGCCCACGCTACTGCTTTCCATCATATCGCTTTTGAATAAATTCTTAGAGGTAGGTCACTTTTCATTTCCAATTATGTTTTAAGGTATGTTGTGATTTATACTCACTAAGAGATAAGTTTCTGTTTCAATTACTATGTATAGTTATTAACAAGATGTTTAATAAGGGAGTATATCGTACATACCTTAGGTATAAAAATATTTTTCCATGCATTTTTTTGTCTATACCGGATTTTTGTTGAATACAGATGATTATAATTATAAGCCTTGACTAATAGTTGTTAGTCACAGTTTACACAAAAAATTTATAAATCGATTTTTCAAACTAATTTCATTTATTGCACAGCTATAAAAACAAATAGATTTTAGTAAAGGGATCGATGTATTAATTTCAGGTGGATGAATATTTTTCTCTTCTTTCTTTTGAAAGCAATCATTAAAATAATTTCCAATTTATAAACTTGAATTCCTCATGAATCAAACGTAATACGATGAAAACGGCTGAGGTGGAGTAAAAAAAGATTTCTGGGCTATAAAAAGGAGAAAGACAGAGAGAGAGAGAAAAGTTGGGAAGAGGTGGTACACTTGGGACCCCTTTGAGAACCATAAAGCCGAAAATCATGCGGTGCTTTATCACGACTTGGAATTTACCGCCATAACAATCGGTAAGGGACAATGAAGCCGTCAACCAACTCTGTGTGAATGTAACATACATTTCTACTGTCTTGGATACCTTTTTCTCTTCATCGTCCCGTCGTAATAACTTTTTCTTACACTGTATACATCTTTTTTATCGCTCAAGTGGAGGCATCTTGGTATTTGCTCGGGCAGAAAGGCAAAATTCAGCAAGAGGAAAGTCAACGCAAAAATAAGCGAGCGAAAATAGGTGTTCGAGTAATACAGAGTTATTATAAATTTACGGCCAAAATATCGGATCTTTTGATTCAACGGGCCATTAAACGTTAAAAGTCCTTTAACTCGTAACTCAAGACCATCAGAGATTTGCACGAGCTTACCTGACCTCATAAAAACCAAAAACGTTATCCCTTAAAATCACACCTACTCCTCTCCTCTTTTATTTTACTCGACCCCGTAGGTAGCATGTGTAAGATTTTTATTTATTCTGTACGTATTCCATCTGCTACTTACCGCGACGTCTGATCCCTATTTATCTTTATTGAGAGGTTCTTTTATGATCCTATCGTATCCTCTATACCGGGAATCGCCTAATGGCTCCAAATGAACTGCTGGGACACACAAACTTGTACGAAATCGTTTTACTTTTATCCATTAAACGATGGCAATGACATCAGATTAACGAAGGTGTTTTTAATTTAAAGATATAATTACTTGTCAATTGCCCTTGATGATTGGAGCAAGTATTGGCTACAAGTTAATTCTGTTATGTCAGGAAAAAATACACTGATATTTTTATCTTCCGTTGTTGATACATTAATTAATCGACGAGACAAAATCTGTAAAAAAATACAGCCTAGGTGATGCTTATACTATTCAAATCTATGAAGGAAATAATTTGAATACAATAATGGAATGATGTCGTAAAAAAGTTACTTAAACGTCTCATTCATACATGTACACCCACATTTTGATGAATCGTCGTACAACATTGAAATTCAAATGACCACTTGTTTTTGAATCAATTGGAGTCACTGCATGAAATTTGTACGGAATTGGTTGATTCAGTCAGTGACCAATCACCGCTAAAATCCAAGCGATTCTCATTGGCGATATCTGATGGGAAAGAAAAAAAAAGTGGAAGGGACCCACGCCGTATATTATTCCCAATAGCCCGTCCCGATCTAATCTTCCTTGTCACCTTTCACCTCTGATTAACGATGAAAAAATGTAAATTCCTATCGCGATACGTGCAAGTATGGTGGCCGCATGCGCGCGTACCAGCGGAAAAGCATGTAATCGTAAAACGCAATCTCGATACATTAGCGATTCCGGATTCGCGTAGACTTACTCTGTCACGACTTTTTTTACCCTCCCTTAGCCGTTTGAAATACATATTTCTGGGAGGGCTTATTCGCATCATAAAAGGGCAAGTTAGCTCGTGAAACAGCTAAATAAAATCCATCTGACCTGCTCGAGGTCTAACTGCTACCACATAATTGATGAAGTCACGCGGCTAGCATTGTCCATTGAAACAACTCTACTGTTCTATTTTGTAGAAAAACTTACTTACCTGGTTAATTTTGTTACGCACGCCCACCTGTTGACTTCCAGTAAAGAGAAAAAATTAATAATTTTTGAATTTTGTTACGTCCAAGTGGAATCCTCCAAATGGCTTTGAAATTTCCCGAAAATTGGTCGAATAAAGTAGTACTACAAACCACATCCAGTAAAACATTTTCTAACACAGAAAAATAAAATGTAGCATGTCTAAAATTCATATAACAAAAAGTATTAAGTGGGTGCAACTGTATATACATCTTTGCATCTGTGGAGGGAGAAATTGTAATTTATACACAAACATGTTATCTCTAAAGCTAATGAAATTATTCATGGACTATGAGAAAATTGATTAGCTCAACCCCAGGCACGCAAAATCTAGGGGTCCATCAAGCTATTACCTCCTGCATTGGTTTTCCTTCAACGAATATGAATGTGCACGATGAGCTGAGATCCGCTGAAAACTTGACGTTTTCCCACGCTTCGTTTAAAACATAACTGTTATCTCAGATTTTGCATTAGAAAATTTCTATATTTCGTTGCTTGTTTGTTTTCATTGTGGCGATACAAATTCATTAGGTTAGCTACAGGAGATGATAACTTGCACTCTAATGACGTTAATTATGTTGTACAAGTAGTTCCATTACTTTATGGAATAATAATTTATACTTGCAAATTTGTGTGCATCAAACAATTTTGAACTTAATTGAGGTTTTCATGAATGAAACATAACGTCACTTAAGCAGTTAACGAGCTAAAATGTATACATGGGTTGTGTTATTAATTTGTGTAATAAAACGAGTTCCTATCAAAACATATTACATATACGGTATCTTAATCCTTAATTAAAATTAAAACAAAGTTCTTTGAGAAATTTGAGATTGTATAGGTGTTAGGGATCTTTATTAGGAATATAGAAAATAAAATTACCTGTAAGTAAGTAAATGTAGTTAAATCTACTTTAACAAGTGAGTAAAGAAAGTATTTGTATAATTACAGCTTTTTACAATTTACAATTTTTCGGATTATTAGATTTTCTTTTTATTCTTAAAGATTTCGTATAGTCAATGATACTATATCCCAGGCTTTTATATCCCAAGCAGACAAAGTCAAAAAATGTTATTGTGTTGTTACCTTATTTCATTTTTTTTCCATCCCCTTTTAAAGAAGCATGTACAAAAGTGATAGGTAAAAACTAAATCATAGAGTCAAGTGATTTTCTTAAAAAAAAAAAAAAAAAAAAAAAAAAAAAAAAGAGCACACATTTATACGGCTCGACAAAAGAAAATAGCTTATTGAAAGTATTTGCTTGTAAGGTACGCGTGGGTGTATATGTTTGCGCCTTCCTTTTTTTGTCACATACCTTTCTTATTTTTTCTTTCTTTTCTTCATGTGTTGCAGCAGTGGAGGCGCTGAGGGTCGAAGTAAAGGTTCCACCGTACCTCAAGAAAGGCGAGTCTGCCAGGCTGGAGTGCAGGTGAGAGGGCACTTGCCCATTTTAGCTCTTTGGCACTTGTGTCAAAATGCATGCATACATATACAACATGCCTGGAAACTTTGTCGCAGCCTCTACACACCCTCTACTTTCACGAATTTCTTCAAACGCAGTATTTTTGATATTTTCTCTTTCTTTGTATCTTTATATCCCCTCCTTTCTTGCTTCCACAACTCCCCCTCGTCCTCACCCTCTTCCCTATCGTTAAACTTTCTCTTACGTTTGATTTGTTTTTTTCTCACTTTTATCTTATCTTTTTAAGGATATTAATGACCTAACTAGGAAGGTTTGATCTTTTAATTCCGTAATTTTGTAAAATGACACAGACGTATAACGTTAATCATAAATCGATCTTTCGAGAAATGCTTTTGTTGAATAATGTTATCTTTTGAAAATGAATAGCGAAGAAATTAATCAACGTTGATGTCAGCACAATCACATCTCATTTTAGCAGAATACCCACGAACTACGTAGGTCAAAGAAAAAAGGTATTATCGATAACAAGTACTTATCTCTAGCAAACGTACTTTAAACCTAGTATTCCACTTCCAACGTTCAAAAATATTTTAAGAGATTTCTACGAGCTACGAAGTAAAACAGTTGACTAGCAGTTAGTTCATGGGTTATAATTAGGAAGCATATGTACCTCAACAAAAATGTTTGCTGACAGCTCTAGTGTAGGAGCAGAAATTGGATGAAGTAATTTTTTGTGCCTGGAAACTATTTTATGTGGAAAATATGGCAGGAAATCTAGGCTCTAAGAGGAGAAAAATAAAAACTGCTTAACGCGCCCTATTTCCAACTTTTAAATGGCTCCAAATTTCTCATTTTTTACTCCCACTTGATTCTAACTCCTCCGTTTTCTTATCACTTTTAACAACTTCCAGGAAAAAGATGTTCCCCTCCCCTCTTTTACTCGGCACCTCAAAGCTAAAGCGAGTCATCGTGTTAATCACCTTAGGCTCCCTCCGAGAAGAGATAAGAGATCATCCAGCTAAATCATCCACTGGGATCCAACATAATTAAACCGTAAAAAATTAAAACTTTCACAATATCCTGGTGTAAGATCTTCGTCTCATTGATTGTAGTATCCTTTATAAAATCATAAAATCACACTATCCACGAGCCATTTTATTGAGGTTTTTTTTGCACTCGAAACGTGTAGGAGACACATTCTCATGCGAGCACGTGCCCACTTTCCTTTTTCTTGTCTGGGGGTGAGATCCTCGACGGCTGCAGAGACACAATACAGGCGTCACCCCTAGTACGTGTGACACAGCGCTAATTGGCTGACATGCTAGTGTATGTGTCTCTGGAGATTCGTTAATTAGCTTCCACCTGAGGACATGTGCATGGACATGTGCGTCGATCGGATAGCTGGGAAGAGCAGATATGTATGCCTGGAGCCCATCTCTGTATGTGAAAATCAGATAAAATTCCATACTGGTGGTCGATCCAAGTAGATACGAAAATACAGATTTACGAAAAGAGTCGGAAATGGGAATAGGCGATGAAGTGAAGGACGGAAGGAAAGCTGAGCTCTGCATACCCTCGGGCCGTACCATCTCTTCGCACAATGCACGTGTCACGTCAGCAAAATCTCAACTCTTGCGTAGTCCTCTCCTTTTTGGCAGGGGCATTCAATCCTTTCCAAAAATTCTCGATACGTGACTAAATCTAGATGATGTTAAATCGAGCATGACCATAAAATTTATTGCTGAAAATTTTACGTTTGATTGCATCGACTTGTACATTTCTGATAATTACAAGCAATTTGAAAAATAACCCCACAGAATAATTCACGAAATGATTCGTACAATGTCGTTGATTATTTATTACCGTGCATTTTATTTTTGTTTTATTTAGGAGTATAAGTTCTCCAACTTGGCATCTATGGTTTGAAAATAACTCCAAGAATCTGTATTACCAAGAGTCGTGATCTTTGAGGAGTTGAATCCTGATCTCTAGCTTGTCAAATTTAACTCATAAGCCAAGTCATAAGTAGAATTTTACAATAATAAAATACTTAACATGAAAAAATCAGCGAAGCGAAACAACGAGAAAAATCGTAAGAAGATCATTAAGTGACTGGACTTATCCATTCCAGTGCATCCTGCGGAAAACGTAAATCCACGAGTGAAAATAAAAAAGTACTATTCTTGCAGTATTTATCTGTTAATCGATTTCTCAGACGACGCTCTTATCCAGCAGCATCTCCCAAACGTCCGCAAGCTCTTTCTCTCCCTCCCTTTTTTTTCCTACTGGCGCTGAGCCCTTGGCCATGCCATCCAGCCCCGTAGCAATATCTCAGGCGAGATTTCTATCCGTTTTTCTTTCCTCTGCTATCCTGCCTTCATAAAAGTCTCAGTCTACGAGGACGAAAAATAAAATTATTAAAAAAGAATCTCTTTAGGGGCAATCCAGCCCACCACCATTTTTCATCTTTTTTCTCCTTTACTCCTTTCATTTGTGGGAAGAATGAAAACAGGAGAAACTCGACTTACAATCTTATTCACCTTAATCGTACGCAATTATTTTTATTACTCTATCTCTCTCTTGTATGTGTGTGTGAGTCCGTCCTCCTCCCTTGGCTTTCTGGAATCAAAAGAAGTGATTGCATATTATGATTGGTTAAATAAAAAAAAGCTCATCAGTGCTTCAACACCTGAAGAATAAGTACTCCAAGTAATTTGTGGATACAGATTTTTGGAAAGCCCGAAAATTTGCAAGTGTTATGGTAGGTAATACTAATTCTAACAGCAGACACTTAAGAACAGCTTAGAACAACAACACAACAACAATAACAAGAATGAGAAGTGTAATATGTCTCGATTAGCCTCGTCAAAATATCTACTCCAACATCAACAGCCAATATTCTCGACGTTCATCTCGAGTATAATCACGACGTGGATTCTCAAGCGATACAAGAGGGTAACTCGAGGAATTCCGCTGAGCGACTCTCGTGGCGTCTCGTGATATCTCGCTTTGGTAGACTGGTTGTACTAACAAGTCAAAATCTGCGAGTCGATACTTCATACGTTATTGATGGCAGGTACACAAGTTAGAGAAAAAACATACTACTGCACTGTGTACAGTGGCTATGATAATATTCAGTGAATTTGGAAAAAAATCAAGACAGTAAAAGTAAAATCAAACACAATATTCCACGGGACTTGCAATCGCTATAAGGGCACTTGTAGAAAAAAAATTAACGAAATGCAAGATACGTATGAGGGCAGAATAAGAAAAAGAAGAAACGAGAAAGGTGCAAAGGTCAGAAAACTCAGGGAACCCCCCAAGGAAGCGACCCCAGTAATTGAGCCAGTAGATGCAAATCAATCCCTTGAGGCTGGCAGGTGCGTGTCTTTCCCGTTCACCTCCTCTCTCAGCTCCATCCCATTCTCTCCTTGCTCACTTGAAGCCCGACGTCTCGTGCACCTAATGCTAGACTCTGGCGATCCCCTTACCAGCCTCAAGTTGAATGTAACCCCCGGGGGTGCGTCACTGCAGTAGAGCTGCGTCAGGGTTCGTGTTGTGCACTTTCAATATCGTAACCACCACTGATAAGACGTACATGCTTGTCCCAGATGTGTGTGTATGTGTATGTATGTTTTTCTTAAGACCGAAACGCTGATGGCTGCAGGTTTTACAGCTGCTGCCAGTAAGCGAGGTAAGCGCTGCCACGTTGGCTGTTGGCTCTGTGGTGACAATGGTGGTAGGCTCGAGAGCCTTTGCCACGAGCGCTGCAGCCAGGACTCAAGTTTTCTTGCCTTTTGAATAATTTTGGTGCTCCCGAGAGCTAAAATGGGGTTGAAGAGTTTGCTGCTCCTCTGTTCTCTCTTTGTAGGTACGAATTAGTTTTTGCAAGGGCTTACGACCCTCTATCTTGTTCAAGTCACGCATAGATAAAGTTTTATACTCTATTTAAACTATGCGAGGAAAGCATTGCATTTTTATCCTGTAAATTTATTTTTTATCAGTGGTGTACCTACCAATTGACCTCAAACCCCTGAAAGTATCCTTTTGTTAAGTATTTGTTGCTCTAACTTTTCTTCATGCATGCAATGTAATGGTCGTTTTAGCGTTTTGGTGTGATTGCAACTGTACTTGTAAACATTGCCAAACAAAAGTCCGTTTTTTACATCGTATGTACGTTCTTAAATGAATTTTAATCAAATTTTTTGTTTTAAATTTCAGGTACGAGCTGGGCTCTGATAAGCTGTACTCCGTGTCCTGGTACAAGGACAACGTGCACATCTACAAGTTCTTGAAAAAACAACACGAAAAGCTGGTTTTCAATGTAAATGGTGTCACAATCGACGTAAGTTTTAACTATTCCTCTTAAAGTTAAACTGATTCGTCAAGGTGTTAACAAACATCTATAAACAATACAAACTCTTTTCTCATTTACCCTTTAATTTGATTGTCCAAAAAAAGGTTGAGTAAAAAAGAAAGCTTTTGCTTAACTTTTGAGACCAGTGTAAAAAATTATCGTATTACAAGGAATCTAATGTCAGATAAAAACAGAAGAAAGAAAAAATCGCGTGAAGAAGGCTGAGGGGGTTCTACTGGGAATACGTACCTAGATAAAATCGAATGACGACTACATGTCCCGAGGCGCTCGGGCTCTGCGGAAAGGAAAATCTTCTACGAGAGCTTTTCCTAGTATCAAGAGACTTTTATCGGTGGCAGGACTATCGCGAGCTGATTATTCGTTCAAATGGAAAGCAACGACGTACATAAGTAGTGAATATCCGTGTTTGGTCAGACGATTCGCAGGTGGAAGGAAAGATACCGTTTAATACTCTTATCGTTGGTGCTAATTCATTTGCTTAGTTACATTGGGAGCTAGTATCATTTATCCATTACCTACACCTTATTCCTCTAAGAAGATTTAATTTTTGTAGGAATTGTAAGTGCAGACTGTTGGAGAAACTTTTCATGTAATTTTTAATGCAAGAATAAATCTTCTTTGGCCATACAATTTATTTAGCTCTTGCTTTTTTCACTCTTGTGAGAAGATAGATGCATTATATAACTATCCTTTAGCAAGGACACGTAGCTGATACGATATTAGTGAATTTAATGGCATCAAGTTAGTCAAACAGCCCAAAAAAGTCGTTAAAAAAAAAATAAAGAATAAAATCTGACTAACGCAACGGATCCCATAACCATTGGCGAGTATCAGAGCTGCTACTATTTACCTCCGTGCAAGAGGGAGGCTCTCCTTTGGGACGATTTGTCGAGCCATATCAGCCCTTTGTGGGCGCTAGTAACCCACTCCCTAACACCTTTGCTTCTAATCTTGGTAGTACTCCCGTGACACGTTGACGGGCTCTTTGATGTTTGTGACGTTGACGCAAAATTACACACCCCAGCGCTATCCGACACAATTCACGTTATTTTGGCTTTTCCAGGTTCGAATGAAGCATTAGTTTGAAATATTATTTGATCTCCTATATAACTTGAGATTGAATCACTAATGCACTTTGGTATGATTATAGACCGGTAATTGAAATCGACAGGTGAAAGGGGGTCACTCGACAATCAACAAGTAAATACTAAAACTCAGGATCGGTGTATTGGTAAATATCGAGGAAAGACGAGAATAACTCGAGAGTCAGAGAATCAGTAATCCTTGCAGAGCAGGAACAACCAACTGCGCGAAGAGAAGCAGATACAATTCGATCATGCATAAACATTTACACTTCACGATAGAACGGGGGAGCGAAAGGAATATCGGCAATTTCTTCGTATACACTAAAGTAAAACAAATCACTCTTTTCTCATATCTTGGGTGAGACTTTGTAAATTGCTTACATTTGCATTATTGATTAAGCGTGCCCAACTTGATTGACTTTTTCCGAGCACTTCGAAACAGATCAATAACGAGAGATAGTGTGCGTGTGTATGGGTGAGTGTGTGTGTTTGAGAAATATACAGTTCTCACAGCTCTTCTTCATATTCTCCTCTTTCTCTTCGTTCTACTATATTTATTCTCGCTTATCAATTTTCTCTAAATGTTTGATTAAGCCAAGAATATCCAAACCCAAATAAAATTAAACTAAGATACTCTCAAGACATAATAATGCCATATCAATCGATGTGTGATCTCTGTCAGCCTGAATTGTGTAATCATTATGTTGAATTCTATAAATCTGATGTTATCGTTATTTGTAAAATATATTTATGACAATAATCCATTATTCTTATATTTATTAAAAACTTCTACTTTTTATCATTTGCCAACTTAACACCGAATTTTTCATCAACTCTACTAACAACTGAAAGTAAGGCCGCGTTAACTTTTTGTCGATTATACCACGTAAGCTATCAATTGCGTGAAATATCCTATTGACCCCCAACAATGACGCGACAATTAAAGTTAATGAACTGACCTTATTGCGATACTCACTAATGGCTCATTCTTTTGAATGCATGCATTTACTCACTCAGTAGCTGTTCAAACACTACAATAGACACTATAAAGAGCAGCAATACTGTTACAGAAAAATTCGCTGTGAGCCCTTAAAAAATGAAAAAAAATTTAAGAAATTTTCCATAAGAGAGCCCACGAGTCTCTACTTGTTATTTTTTTATTTTTTATTTATTTTTTTTATTTTTTTTTTTTACTTTTCTTTTCATTTCTTTGGAGGAAAAATAGTACAAGGAGCAGAGAGACGAGTGCAAAGGACTAAAAGTAAAAATGCAGGACTCCGTGAAAAGTATTTCAATTTATTCCACCAAGTTCCCTTTATCACTATATCAAAGTTGGATATTAAAAACCACGAGCAGAAAAAAGGGACTCCAGCTTTTGCTATTCTTTTCTTTTCTTCTTACATTTTTCTCCTTACATATTTTCTCGAGGTTCAGACGATAAGTGAAATTTTCACTACATTATTGGCTGTTATCATAACTAAAGGAATTTTGTTGTAAAGTTGTATAAGGTATAAAAAAAATATAAAAAAAAAAATTAGTCACTAATGGAACGTAACTAGTACAACTTGTGTCATGTATTACTGATGAACATCAATATATGTTCCGTGGAAGCCAAGTTCTGACCAAACACTTGATTTCACGATCAAGAAACTTTACATTAAATCCCCTTCAAGTAATTTGGGAGTGCAGGATAAAAAGGTCGAACAAAGTGTTGGAAGAAAAGTTATCGCAGGGTAGAAAAGAAAGATAGGCACATTTGAATTTTAAAGCACAATAATGCAAATCAAAATTGAAACAAAAACAATTTCGTGCTTGCGCTCACCAAACTTGGCTCGCAATATTTCTCTCCCACACTAACTTTGTATCCCGTGCGTACACACATACATAACTGGGGCGTGTTTATGTATACAAGTCCTCTTTCTTCGAGCCCGTGCTGTTTGTAAAACTTGACGAAGAAAAAAAAAGAAAACTTGGGCTGCACTCCTCTTTTCCGTGTTTTCCACTTTAGCATCTCTCTCTCCCTCCCTCTCTCTCTCTCTCTCTCTCTCTCTCTCTCTCTCTCTCTCTCTGACATATTTGCTCTGTTTTTTTTCTCTCCCTCTTTCTCTAACTTTGCGGGCAAAGAGCCATGGGGCATTAGAGTAAATATTGCGGCTGTCGGCTTATACCCATACCGACTTACAAAGACGATGGATAAACACTTGTCTTGTGGACCAAATATTGTTATTTCAAACTATTTCAAGTGTTGTTTGCTGACGATATTGTTTACTGTCTTCAATTTTTTATCAGCACTGAAAATGTTTCACTTACAAACTTTTATGGCTCACGTCCATCGATACATAATGCAGTCGTTCTTAGAATAACACGTATGTAGTTATCCTCAAAAGTCATTAAAACGACCTTTTATTTATCTGCCAGTGTATATAAATATCGAAGTTTCATCATTTCCAGCTCCTATTTTTTTTTTGCTCAACAATAGGAAATAGGTTAAGCTACGTTTTCAACTCTTTTTAAACTTTCATTGATCTAAGTTTATTTTTTATCATTTTGTGGTTACGTTTTCCTTTTTAAATTAAAAAATGAATAGTCAAAAACTACAGAGAACAGCATGAAATAGCTTGAGTCAAGTATATTTTACTTTTAGTCAAATAGAGTCATTGCATTAAAAAAAAAAAAAAAAAAAAGTAGGAAAACAAGGGTGACACAGGACTTGTTAGAAGTATTCTAGCAGAAGAAGCGCCAGCTTGTACACTTCTTCGTCGATTCTTGGGAGTGACAAGTCAGGCCAGCTGTGACACCAGCTTATCTCCTCAGATCTCATCTTCCTCTCGGTTAATTATTATAGTCAGGCTTAGGAATGATTAAAGTTTTTGTGAAGAGGATCTTCAAGCGTACGGTGTATCTAGATCTCATAAATGGTACCCAGCTCATCTGGTGTTTGCTTCAAAGCCAAACGCCGTTTTCTGCGGAAAATATTAAAAATGTATAAAAATTCTACACTTTACTCTGCGATAATGACAAAGCTGACGAGAAGCCATATTCTTTGAAAATTTGAGGCCTCGCCAAACGTTGAGGCAACAGACATACGGTAACTACTGCCACTAATCGCCCTACTATTATTTTTCCGACAATATCTATGAAAAGGTCAGTTTATTTCCTACTCTTTTAGTCGACAACTCGCAAAAATTATAAGTTAATTGAGCAATTCAATTTAGATTCATGAGGCCCTTCCCCAAAGTGTAACAGTAGACAACGCCATAATCGCATGGAGGGCTGTTGTCCAGTATTACATCGCTGCACGAGTATACGGGGGGTCTATTACGACATCGATCAACTTAAAACTCTTCCTGTCGACCTACGCGTCACATGCAAATAATATTAGCGGCTCACCAGCACGAAGCTCTGCATATAATAACTCCACTTATATCTACGTACCTTTACTCCACTCAAGGCTATCCCCCAAAAACTGTTCCTCACATAGCGAAAGTTCTTGCATTTTTTGGTGGCTTGAGGATCCATGTGAGAAATAGACGTTTTCTGGGCCAATAAAATCTGTAGGATGGAAAAAAACGGAGCTTGTTTTTGCATAATTTCAGTTGGGCGAAAAACGTTTTTCAGACGAGCTTGAAACTATGCCATGTTAAATTCAAAATCACAATTTGCAGGAAAAGACGCTGCAAGTGTACTTTAGTACACTGATTTTTTTTATTTGAGTAGAAATACATATTTTCTCTGTATACTAAAGAAATAATCAGAACAATAAAATAAGCCGTTGATGAACAAAAAAATGTACACTATGGCGTTTGAAATCAGCTCACTCCTGCCTACATCGTATTTATATAAAAAAAAATTTTCCGAAGGTAAAGAGCGCTGATACAGCAGCAAAACCAATTTGGAAAAAAAGTAGTCCATTTCGAAGAAAAAGACATTGGCAAAGAACTGCGAGGTATCGGGAGAGGAACGAGACGCCACAGTGGAAGAGACCATTAGAACCATAGATTCGCAGCACGTAAACGTCGTTATTTTGCCGATATTAAAGAGGGCGAATTTTTTCTTCTCCTTTTTCCATTCATCCTTCTATTGCAGACAAGGTTAAATCGGGCAGAACTGCTTGGCCCAGACCGGAAGTGTAGTTTCGCGATGGGAATAAGAAAGCACAACGTGGATACATTTTTTTCTTTTTTCACTTGGGGCGCTTCTTTGCACGGTTTCGGTTTCTTTTACCAAAACTAAACACATTATCTGCAGCTCATTATACCTACTACATACCAGGAGAAAATTAAAAGGATCTATAATACGTCTCTATCCCTTCCATAAACCTTAAGAGTTTAAACTAAAGAATTAAATTTCTTTCAGTAGTATTGTCAACGTTTAGTCAGACATGCCTTTCACATTGCGTATAACAAGTATGAGTTTGTGTATTCAAGTTTACATGAAAAGTAAAATTATGTTTCTGTATGAGCTCATTATATGCATTGTCAACATTTAATATTCATTGTCACAAAAATTAAATTTCAAATCAAACAGCAGCCAGTCAATTAATTGAGTATTTTGTACCAACAAATTACAGACCAGCAATAGTAAACAACACTCGACCATTAATTCTCTGTTGCAGCCGCACAAATCAAGTGACCAGTTGCTGCAGCTTCAGAGCGTGATCATCGACGCGACCGGCTACTACATGTGCGAAGTGAACACTGACAGTCCTGTGTTTAAGGTCGTAAAGGCCATGGCTTACATGGAGGTCATAGGTAAGCTCTACTAATTAACGGCACATATATCTCTTTAAATTTCATCAGCTTTATAGCTGGTCGGTGGTATGTATAAGCTATCAAGATATAGTGTTATTGTAATATCCTTATCCTGTATTAATTATTACGAATAGCCTTGAGGGCGAAATATTCATTACCGTAATTAACTTTTGATCATTTTGGTAGAATCAATATGTACTTTCTTCAATAGATGTTTTATTAATTGATGCGTAGTAATTAGATTTTATCTGCACAAGTTACAACATTTGAATTATTATTTATTACTTGTCCTGATAGGTGTTGATTTTTAAATTAGTAATAATTTGATCACTATCTATCTATACCTTGCGCATCATTAAGACCATGGCCCTTATCATTTGAGATACAAGAAAAAAGTATTTTTATGGTGGTATAACTGGGTGATGGAATTCCTTGTTACTGTAGGTAAGAAGAAAATAAGTTCATTTCCATATTTTGGTGTATGTAATATCAAATAGAAAAATTTTCGCACAAATTAAAATACTCGTACAGCCGTCATAAAACTATCTGCTCCAGTCACCACATTTAAATGGCTCCACGACCACTTTGTATTTGATCAGTTTGTGCATTACTAAAAAGTACCACGAGAACACACCTCTTTTATCAAAGGCATAAAAGGTAAAAAGAAAAAAAAAATGCAAGTGAGTTGCGTAAACGTGGCGTTTTTTTAGCTTTGAAAATGAATATATGTATACGTCACTTTTTTTTCGCCGTTGCATGGCCACAGTTTCGAAGCTTCCTCTTTCTTTCTTGTAGCTTTCTTGTAGAGAAACACCTGTTACTTTAGCGAAAGTGCTGCATAAAAAGACCACCAAATCACAATAAGTGAGCACAATGTGGGTCGTACTAGTACGATGCAGGGTTTAAAAATTTTTTTGCTCTCTTGAACTCGGTTTTTTTACTCTTTGATAAGTGTAGCGGAAAAACTGAAAACGTTATTCATTGAGAATGAAGTTAACCAGTAGTTTGAATTATACAATGAGCTGCGTTGTTGAACGTAACGTATGATTGCTTCATTAAAATTCAACTAATGGTAAATAATTATCGTTTAAAGCTATTCAACCGTTGTTTTAGTGCCATGTAAGGTAATTGACACGATAATCAAGGTACGTGGTATACCTTGATGGAAAAAAGTGCGTTAAAAATAAACTAGTGGGTTTGCTTTTGATTTTTAATTTTATTAGAATCAATCAAAAATTAGCTGAGAAAACGACTTTTTAGTTACTGGATTATATTTTATCTTCTTGTTTATCCTCGGGATTTCAGTCTATTAATATAAGTAGTGGTTAATAAAAACTTCTGTTGTTTAATTGTTTTGAAAGTAGACAGTGTAGAAGGCTTTCAATTTAGGACTTGCAAACTGCAAAATTCCAAATTGTACTTACTCTTTGCCACTATGTTCATAAAGAGAAATAAAATAAAAACAAATTTCTACGAGACTAACAAAAAATTTGCAAGAGCCGGAGATGAATAGTAGGTGTCGTCAGAGATGTACCTCTAGTAATGTAATTGCTGACATTTGCTTACCGGCACTGATTTTACGCATTGAAACAGTGTGAGGTGAAAATTTTTTTCTGTTCGCAGATCCACCTCGGGAAGGTCCGACGATTACTGGTGATGAGGAGATATACGCTAGTGGTGATATCATGGCACTAAACTGCACCAGCGCCTTCTCGTATCCAACGGCTCAGTTGCAGTGGTTCATCAACGAACTCGAGGTGAGTATTCTCTCAAATTTTCTAACGTCATGCTTCTTCTCTTCTCATTATCCCCTTTTTGAATTAAATTCTCTCTTTTGTTCTTAGTAAATCATTCTCATAAATTTTTTATATTATGAGGACATTTGGTGCCCAAACACTTAAGAGCTGCTTTCAACTACAGAGCCGATGCACCGTTGAAAATATTTTATTATTTTATAGCTATATGCACCATCAAACAAGGAAAACGAAAAAGAATCAATATTAAGGATACATAAAACATCTAAGTATTTAGTCCCACTTGACGTCTTGGCTGTTTTTTTTTCTCTTATTATTTACACCAAAGCTCTCGGGCACCCGAACGACGAGACAAACGGTAACTCTATTGATAACGATAGGGCCTCTATTTAATTACCAAATAGAGAGATGAGGTGGAGCCATATTTTTCTTTTTGTTATTTATTACGCTCATATCTTCCTTGCGATCATGTACACAAACAAGATGGATTGATAGATGACATTTTTTTGCTGACAATTTTTTTATTTCAGTCTTTGTTTCTCCGTTCATCCATTACCAACGACACCAAAGCTGTCCCTTGCGTAAACTGGTAATCCTCTGAAAGCACGCGGGTGTATCGGCTTCAAACTTAATCCTTGAGAGACGTACACATTTACACTCATGCCGTTGCTGATGCTTCCTTGGAATATTCTAAAGAAGATCTGATTCTTAGGGAGCCACTCGCACTTAGTGTATGTGTACAGGCCATATCTACCCCTTCGGCTTTTTCTCCTCAAGATCGCTACCCCCTAATGGATTATAAGCTGCGATAAGCCGGTGCAGTTACAAAGAGGATTATAGAGTAGTGGCAAAAAACTTCAAGGGGAAAAAAAGAAGCCAAGCTGAGATCCATAGAGTGGCTACGACAACTTTTCCCGATGGCAATCAGGGCAAGAAGAGCCCAAGCAAATAGTTGAAATAAGGAGTAACCTTTTTCCTCTCCCTCTCTACCGAAGGCTTTAAAAATAATTTAATCCCGACTTCTTCTCGGGCATCGTTTATTTCCTTCGACTCAAGGAAAGGCTACTGTGCCAAACGAAGAGTCACCAAGCCCTCTTCCTCAGCTAGGGCTTACCAGCCCAAATCTAGATTAATGCATATCCGTCGATGCTAGCTCGTTAATTGAAATTTTCCATTATCCAACCACTCTTTTACTCCTACTTTATCTCTTGCTCTCGTGCATGTGAGAATTATGTTGTAGGTTGTTTTTTCTCCTGTCAAATTTAGCGAATCTTGTTAGCCTTTTAATTAAGTTGTCGCATTTTGAGCGTATAAACGTCAACAAAGTCATGGCAACGAAATACATGATGAGATATGCCTCGCGAAAGATTTTTAAGATAACCTTCTTAGTCAAGTTTTGTGGGCTGCAGAAGCATATGTGTATAATTGTATTAGCCTATTAGTTTTCTTAAAAAATAAGTTTTTTTGCTCATTGGACAGAGTCATCTGCAGCATACTGATTAAAAAAAAACACATAAATAAATAAATGAAACATACTTACCTCCTTTGCTGACATTATACTTTTAAATAAGTAGTTTTGCATCAAATTTATTCTTTTAGTAGTCCTACATGGGTGGCTTACACGAGTAGAACCAGACAAATTTCATACTATTCGTAAAAACAAGTTGGTTTTGTATTTTATTCATACATATGGTATGGTTAAACAAACAGATGCCGTACTCACATTCTCAGTAGAAAATATAAATCCTGATCTCTATTGCTCTTACATCACACTGTTTAACCGCACTTAAACAAACTCCACTATTCCACTCTTTCTTCTATTTTATGATTTTTCCCCATTTGCTTTTTTTTTTGTTTTTAGAATTTTTTGCTGTTTTTGTTTTACAGGTTCCACCGGACTCGGAAGTGATGCATTTGACGCGACGCGGCCTTCACAGTACCCGTTCGAGTCTCCGGTTGGAGCTCCAACCAACTCATTTAACTCACACAACGATAAAAATCACGTAAGAGTAGGAATAACAATATTCCAAAAATTAGATAACTTTCAATCTGATTTCGATTGTTGTGTAAAAAAAAGAAATTTTTTTTTTACTCTCTGTACAGATGCGTGCAGACAGTACGGACTTCATCTTTAGCTACAAAACCCTTCATAGATGTGAGGGAAACTCAAATTTTTGGTAAACTAAAACATTTATTATTCATATCATTTTTTATTTGTTGTTTACAATAATAATTCAAAAAAGTGCATTTTGTACATACCCAAAATTATCTGTTAGGAAAAAAGAAGTCAGGCGTATGACCAAGTCATACTACGACATCGAAGCAGATGCTTTTTATTGTGCGTTTTCCCCAAATCATCGATTATCAGCACGGAATCAAATTTGATTTTTGATTACCGATCTTACGCTTCTATCTTAATCCACTTGCCTTTACTATGAGAGAATTATCAATTATCGACAGTACCGTATTTTTTACGTACTACTCGATTTTTCGTGGCTGCGAATAAGTAGAAGCTCAGCCAACGACTACCCATTACTGCCCTCTTGTACACAAAGCCCCTGCAACGCAGACTTGTTGTTTATCACGTGTACTCGTGTTTCATGTAAATTACATAGTTTTGACTTTAGCCACCATATGCACTTGAAGATTCGATAATTCATAATGGAGCCGTCACTGTTTTTCTATCATCTCTCCTTTTCTCTTATTACTTTGGTGGATGTGCTGCTTTGCAGGGAAAATGGTGTTTTGAAAGTGTGACATGTAATATTCGGCTTAACTGGATTATCAATATACTATAAAAACATTTTTCAAATTTTTACATGAAAATCCAACAATAGTTAGTTTTATCAGGAAAAAAAGTTAATATGTTAAAAAAAAAAAAAAAAAAAAAAAAAAAAAATACAGTGGATTACAACGTGAATATTTATAGAAGTATGTAAATTATTTATTTGTTACCATTACACGCGCATATAAGTTAATTGAATGTTTTTTTTATAGTTAATTAAGCACAACAGTTGTAATATAATATTGTTTTACTGCACACGGGCATCAATTGACAATTTTCGACATTTCACGTAATATTTACAGCTATATAATTACTTGCACAAATAATTTTCACCATTCAATTACCAAGTTAATTAAAATGTGGAAATTATAAAAATCATACTTTAGAATAGGTGAAAATTCATTGTATTGTACAAAAAAAAAAAAAAAATCAACAGGATTGTAAAAGTAAAAAAATAGAAATGGAAAATTGCGCAAGGCTGTGAGAATAACACTCGAAGCAAATAAAGTGTCAAAGGCAGGAACTCCGGGGGAAACGAGCGAAGTACACGCTATAGTGGGTTTGTAGGGACTCGGAATCGATAAGTCATTTCCACTTGTGTCCCCTTCCACCCTCGGACTCGCCTCGTGTACATAAAGTTCATAGGTGCAGCTACGTGCACGATTTAAGTACGAGCCAGTGACCGTCGACTAATGCTCGTGCGTCGTAAACTACCGCCTAGCGGCTTAACGAGTGAAAAACCGAGTGTACACACTTACCCATACACATCACCGCGTGGACTCGGTGGAATCGATTTCCATTGGGCCAGAGCCGTTACACGAGCTTCTTTCGCTATCCACCGCAACTCGCTATCTTGTCTTGCTTGAAATTAATAATTCCTCGGCTATGTGCTTGAATCTATAAAACTGCTCCATCTCTTATGACGACGCACCCTTGGACTATTGTTGCCACGCGTTTGGTCAATATTGAGTTATAAATTATTTTCTCAATGTTTCAAGTCAACGCGAAAATGGAAAACAATAAAAATCATTATTATCAGGCATTATATTTTTAATCGAACATAAAGTAATTCGAATATTTTGTAAGCCCACTTTGATTCATTATTTGTATAATTTTTAAATACTCAATCCGTCAAAAGGACTAAACGTTCGTAGTTCCTGTCAAATGAGCAAATGAGCAGATGTACAAAGTAATGGACGATGATTGCATAAACATGAAATCCCGGACTAACGACCGCCTGTTTGTGCAACATAACATATGCGAAAAACGAGCTTCCACCCCATCATGTGGGACACCCTATGTCATATGTGGAGTTGATACAGAGCCATTATGTAGAAATACGTAATGGCTTCATCAAAAAGGCCAAATGTGCATGCACCTGTTCGCGTATTATCGATTTGCTTTACCCTACAAAGAGATTCCCATGGTACATGGGGACAAACGCAACAAACGGGGCTCATTCAAAACAAGAGCGCATCACATGCAAGGACATGCACCTGAATCATTTCGCACGAGTCATTTGCCATGTACTGACAAAGCCCAGATAGGGTACAGCTGTACTGTAATTGGTTGATTATTAACGATTCAGAGGTGCAGTATGAGAATCGTGGGGTAGCGATGCGGCACCGAATGTCCAGTGGGAAGCGCCCCTGTGGAGCCATTCGGTCAATCCATTGTTGCGGATCGTATACTACCTATATTTGAGACGTTAGGCCTACTCCTGTTGCTTTCTGGGCGTATTGATATTTCCTGATTTGCTATATATGTATATATGTTGGGAAATTATTCAATACATGTACCTCCTTCCTTTTGGGGTTTTATGACACATCGCATTATACTAACGTGTATTATGTATTATGCAGATGATTACAGCCATTTATCTTTAATACTAGCGTGCTTTTGTAAGCCAGAGGTCGACTTGTTTTTTAATTCATCAATTATTTGATGTACCTCCTATTCCCATGCTAATCTTTTCATTTCAATGTAGTACCATTTCGTGTATTTCACTAATGAAACGGGGCATTATTTCTGGGTAAATTAAAATCCTTTCTATTTTTACTGGCAAACATTCAAGTCAACATCTCATCGGCTTCCGGAACGGTGTACAAAATGGTGCAGATACGGAAATATTGGAAGAGAATAAAATATACCGAAAGAGAAAGAAGCTGTAAGAAAATCGGTTGCAGATAAGAAGATTCAATGAGGGTTAGTTCTTGCTAATACAGAGGGAGGAAAGAGGGGATGGTGGAGTAAGGGTACGGAAGAAAGAGGAAAGGAGGGGGAAGAGTCAGGCGAGCGGAAACTGATAAAGCCATTGGACGACTCGGACAAATTGCTCCTAACAACCTTCGATTTTCTAGTTAGGTTGAATCGTTCGCGGAACGCCTCTTGCATTTACCATTTTCAACCCCCAACAAAATCCCCTCACCCCGTTCTCCTCCGCATCACTCTATTTCTCAGTTTTTAACTTGTTCCCTTAACTTTCCGTTTTTCTTCTCTCCTTTGTTTCTTTGTCTGCTCACTTCGACCAAGTAGCACCAAATTTTACCATCACACCTAAACTTTCCTACCATTAATATATTCTGTTAATACACCCAAAAAATGGCATACAATATAAACATAAATCCGAAATTTTGGTTGTAGTCTCACAAATTAAAGTAAATTGTAATTCGTTAGGTTGTTGAAAAATATTTTTAATGAATTGAAGGCAGAAAAAATAAAGTGAAAGTGAGGGACAAGAGCAGATTGAATTAATTAGTCAATTAGTTCTCTTCACTTCCCAGCTAGGGACTTGGTGGTTTAATAAAGTTGTGGGACAAAAATAAAGGGTGGATTATCCTCGTCCAAAATCAAACATAAGTTTTAAGTTTATAGGTGTAACTGAAGCCGCACTTGCTTATTTATGAACACTTAGATATTTTTATTTTCACAGAGACGGCAAAAGCCCATTCACTAGAAACGTTTTGTGTGTTGCAGTTCAAGGCCACGCGAGTAGTCTATCCAGACCCTCGGCGATAATGTTCGTGTTGATGCTGCTTTCGGTGCTGCTCTGCAAGGATTAGAGAAGACGAATGAACGTGGACAGCTGTACTGCAGCTGAGAGCTGAGGATAAGTGAGAAAAGACAATCATTTTTTCCTCGACGAGCATGTGTACATATATTTAAAAACAACTGATGGTGAACAGCCTCTATTTTAATGTAGCCAAGCAATGTGCGAGGTTTGAAGTAATTGATAAAAGAAAAAAAAAATTATTCGCACCCCAATTTTTTTTTCTCTAATTTCATCTACATTAAGCTATGAAAATTAAATAAAAGTTAATGCGAATTATAAACAATATATGATATCATGTAAACGTAAAATTGTTCGAAATATCGACCGTGAACATGATACAAGAAAACCAATGTCACCGTGTGTACATAGTACATGAAGAGGAATTTATGCCACATAGCCATATATCAACATACACATGATACGTGTACATCATAAGTTTCAATGAAAGTAAGAATAATAAATATATTACGTGATACAGAAACCCAAAAGAAAGTATACTCTAATCTAAATACGAGAAAGAGAAATTGTGTACTCCCCCAGTGCGAAAAACACAATGAGGGTGAGGGTGATTGTACATGATTCCGTATCAAGAAAAAAAAAGGAAAAAGAGAAAACCATCAGACTGTGACCGAACGAGTGTGAGGCGAGTCCACGATGATGGTTGCTTATCGTTTAAAGAGAGACGGCTTGCGGTCATTTTAATACAGCCGTGACGCTTTACCACGTCATGCGTGTAAGCAAACATGCAAGGAATGGGGGAAGTAAGAAAATTTCAATGTACGTATGGTAAGGGATGATAAAAATAAAAAAAAGCAAAAATGACTGACGTCGCGTAAATTGTGTCAGGCCCTCCCGCCCCTATCGTGCGTGGTTTATTGACATTTGTTTCTCCCCGTGTAAATATGTATGTTTTTGTAAGCTCCGTAAGGCTACATGTGTGCGAGGCTACGTGAGTAAATCAGACTAAACTCGCATTTGGTAAAACTTGACTGGCACTTCAATACGCTTTGCTTTATAGATCAAATAAACTCGGCTGGACCCTGTTTCTTTCGGATATGAATGTTGAATTTTTTTTGACCTCATCAATGTTGTTGAACCATCTTATAATAACAGATTACTTAAGTTCCTCACATTGAGCCAAAACATTACACGTTGCTTATTTAATCAGTTTTCACTATATATAATATATTAAATAAAATGAACTACAAATGAGAGAAAAAGAAGGACGACCCAAAGTTTGACTGAAATTATTCACACGTACTTTGATTCAGAGGTAAATTGGTGAACCGGAAAGACACCGTCTCGTAAATTGCTTACTTCCTTCACTTCCTTACCCAAAAAGCGTTGTAGTTGTTGTTACTCGTAAATCAAGCATAGGCAAAAGATGTAGGCATAGGAGGAGAAGCATAATGTATGAGGCCACGTTGTTTAAGGCTGCGTAAGCTTTGGTACTAATTATAAGTTTTAATTGGTACCTACACGTCATTGGTAAATACTTGTGGCCTCCGAACCCCAACACTATCTTTTCTTCATTTAACTCCTGTACAACCGCGTATTATATCTCTGTAATGAAAGTACTCTTATCTGCTGCGAAATAGATCGAATACACGTAAACACTTTTCCAAAGCTTTCCCCAAGTTATTGATTGTTCATGAGTCTAGCTGTCTGAATTTAGTATTTTCATTGAAGAGCAAGTGGTAACGTATTAAAATGCCGAAAAGAAAACCAATCGAAAAGTACAGTATTTTAAAATTGTTTTTGCATCGCAGTATTTTTAACGAAAAAATATTTTTCACCTCATGAAAACCAAATACGTACCTTTTGCTACATCATCTAATGCAAAGCTACAGAAAAAAAGGAAGAATGTGAACAAATCGAAAGTAGCTATAGTATAATATCCAAGCATTGCGCATTGCAGGCCGTTCTACGTTAATGACGAGAGAGTGCTTGGAGGAGGAAAGAGAGGGTCGAGGTGAATGGTGCAATGGTTTGCGAGTAATAGGGCTGAGTACAAGTCTGCTTCACACTGTCGCACCTATAGTAGGTAGAGGAACAAAGTACAATGCATAAGCAAGGAGGTGGAGGAGAAAGCACTGCCTGGTTTTTGTTCTTTTCAGTTGGGGGAAAGAAAGGAAGCGGAATCGTGCCATTTTCCAGTCGGACAATTATGTCACGGAGCGATGAGGGTGTACGCCGAGTGACTTTGCGAATACAAAGAATAAAAACTACGTTGATTTTTACGGTGAAACTACGGTAATGCCGAAATATTGAGCAAATACAGAGTTTCACGATAAACAATAATGCAGTTCTGTTTTCTGTATAACCACAAACAGTCGATTATCAGAGGGTTATGACTTTGGGAGTTTATTGATCGGTTTATTTGCGAATTGACAATGGAATTTGATGAAATTAGAACTATCTATTGTCTGGTTTAAACATTTTTTTTTTAAAGTTGACCAATATTTTACATACATTGCATTGTGCAAAAGATAAATTCAAACTAATATTTATGATCCTGATTTCCAACACTAACGCAATGAGATGGAAGGTCTGTAAATTTTCTCTGCTACTCTTTAGAGAAAGTGCACTTCAGGAGAGTATTGAAGGAAATAAGTATTCATAAAAGCTGATATTTCTGGGCGACATGGCATATTAATATCTTTTCACCCTGACCTTGGCATTTTCATTTCCTCTTCATGAATAAAATCGTTGAATTTCCCATGATAATGTCTTATATCTGTATAATTCATAGAGTTATAATGAACTACCGTCGACGATCGAGTATTTCTTAATGCTGACGTTCATAAAGATAACGTATTGCATATATTCACTTGAAACATGACTTTTTTTATAATTTAGTAATTTATGTACATAATATCGTAAAATTGAACAAAATTAAATATGAATATAGTTGTGTCGAACAAAAAATGTTTAAAAAACGGCGTAATTGATGAATACCAATATTGACGCACCCCAAATGTATATCTGTATGTAAATATATGTATAAAAACTTAAGCGTAGTAAAGAGACGTAACGGTAATGGAGCGATAAGTGAAAATAAAAGAATTATTTAATGAGTTATGATGTGTGACAGCACCTACAATCATGACGGTCTTTCGGTTCTAGGGTCTGTATACATATGATAAGAGATCATTTGCATGAAATGTTTTGCTGTTGTCTAAAAATTCCTAAAAATGTTGATCCAAAAAAATGTGTTGGAAATAAAAAAATTTCTTAACAACTAAAACATGTCACTGAGTTAAAAAACAAATTGTTCTTTTATATACTATACTACGAAGATCTTCTTTTATTATGTGACAATTATTTAATTTTCATGTGTCTACAAATGCTTTTGAAAAAATAATAATAGTATTATGGTTCAATAAAAACTTGAGAAAATGTTACCTGAGATGTAAACAAGCATTGTATTATTTTTTTGTTCTGCTCCTGGCCTTCTGATTGTAGTTTATAGCATTTATTCGAAAAATTTTTGTTTTTCTTATGCATATCAATCAGAAGAGTAAATATGCACATACTATACTATAAAAATCATACACCAACACACATTTATGTAAAAACAATCATTGAGACGTTCCGCTCTCAAAAATAATGACAGCAAAAAACAAATTAAAATAAAGACTATATTAGCATCTCTAAACTTTGTTTTGTTTTTGACGGATTTTAAAGTGTTGACTCTCCTGAAACCCCGTATGTATGGCCTAATGTACATAAAGCTAATTCAGAAATAAATACTATTTTAGTAAACCAATGTTTCACAAGCATCATTTATTCCACCAATCGTAATTGCATATCATCATTAATGTTCATAAATCTTCCATTTTCAGTTTGACAATTTTTTTGCAAAACATACAGGCAAAAATTTTTTATAATAATAACTGAAGAAATTTCTTACTGACTCTGCCTGGTACTAAAAACATGTGTACACTAACTACGCGACATAAATTTTCAAATTTGTATAATGCTTTTTTTTATTGTTAAGATACATTTTTTATCATTTACATCTATATTCATTTATTTGTTGTTAAAGTAAAATAAGATATATGACCTTCAAAAACACCATTTTGGATAAAAAATGTTCTGACGAACTAATTTGTGTTAATATAATATATCAGCTCTGACAAATAACTTACTTTTTATGATAAGATAACAAAAAGGTAGTTCAAGCAGCAGTTGATTTTTCTCGCAAATGGAAACAGCTAGCATCGATAATTTGTACTGGCAAATATGACGCGGTGGTTAAAGCCCAATACAATATGAATTCCAGGATGGCACTATCGATGGCAGAGCTGGTACTGCTTCTGGGGCAGGAATGAGACAGGTAAGAGCCCAGCATTGTGGCGCTCGCTTGAACATCTATTGATTCACGAAGAAGCTGGCGGTATGTGTGAAAGCGAGAGGGTGGTATGTTCACCATCTCGTAAAAATATTTACATGCTTGGAATCAAGCTGTTTATGGTTAGTGCTTCTGACACCTATTTCTCTCTCAGCTGTGTCCTGCTTGCAATTATTTCCGGATACGCTTTGCAGTGAACAGTGAACAATCTTTGTGGCGTGGATAAAGAGCTATGGTGGGTATGGATGAAAAAAAATGGGCTAGAGGATCGACCAGGGATAGGATGAGAGAGATGTCTGCGTCGTTGGATACACATGCATGAGCCAAACGAATTTATATTATTCATGGATGTCCTTTTTTTTTTAACAGTTTTTTTCAACATTTGTTTTTATACTACTATGTAACAGTGTGACACTATCTGGTTTTTTTGACGTAAGGTTGTGAAACCATTTTAGATTATTTTTTATTCTTTTATTGTGAGTTGCTTGCATTTGAGTAAGACTAAGAATACAAACTTAAAAATTTGATTATCATGTGTACAACGGCCACGATAATATTACTTTCTGAGAAAATTACTTTTAAATAACTTAAATATTTGATATTGAATTCAGTTGCTAAATTTTTTTTTTAAAGTTAGTTATTAGAACCCAATAGTGTAGATCATGGAACATTTGGAATGAGTCAACATCAGCAGACCCTCAAAATTTATTGAGGTATTTTAAAAAAGTAATAGAAAAAAACTTTTTTATGAATCAAGTAGTGCAAGTCAAGTATGGTCAGCCGAATATGCGGTATAAGTATAAAATATCTTATTATGAGAAATGGTTTACTTGTTCTAATAAATTATTTACATAAAACTGTACTTTTCCCTTAAAGTAGTACAATCAAAGTATGGTCAGACATAGTCGTAAAGATCAATTATAATTATGCAGCCGTTTATTATCACTCAACACCCGAATACCTACGAAATTTATTAAGATATTTCAAAAAATTACTAGAGAAATAATTTTTTCTTAAATCAAGTGATACAAATCAATGACGATCAACCATATACGTAAAGAATTTAAAATTTATCAGAAGTCATAACGTCTTCGAAAATTTTTTAAAATAAAATTAAATTTTTTTCTTCAAGTAGTGCAGCTCGAATATCGTCAGACATATTTAAGAGTTGACACTTGGATCACGCAACTGACAGTGAGAAAGTACTTTTTTGCAACTATCAATTCCCCCTTTTTTTCATTTGCAGACGCAGGGATGTGAAATGATTGAATGAGTTCAGTAAGTTTATGGTATGTATATTTGATCCACATTAGAAAGATAAAAGCTTGTTTCATAAAGGAATTTGGCAGCTTTACTCGTAAATACCGTACAACTTTAAGGAAACAGAAATTTTTATACGAAACTTAAGGTTGTGTTTTGCTTAAGTAACGCAAAAGCAACAAGAGAGTCTTACGGCTATGCCGTCATAGGAAAAATTAGAAAATATGCAGAGTGAAGAAATTTTTAATCACCTCTAGTACGCAAATTTATAGTCATATCACTTTGATTTTATAACGTTCTTTCAGCCTAGAAAATAAATTAAAACATGTCATGAGCCAATAGTTTTAATATAATTTCCCGTGAAAAAACAGAAATTCTGATCCTTATTTTCACACGCAGAGCCAAGCAATAAATATTCCAGATGATTAACGTCGTTAGATAGTCATTAGCCCCGACGTACCTCTGTCGCACGCAGCCTTTCTCGTACCCTCGTCCACGTACAGCACACACACAGTCAGGTAAGTCTCATTACCTACATATAAAAAGTACACTGTCGGTAAACAGCCAAGCCGGAGTGTCCATTGGTCTGACTCTTGGCGTAAATTGGCTCAGATTAATCGGGAGCCGCGGGAGGCTAAAGGGGGCACCGCATACGTCCGACGGCTCAAGATGGATGGATGAGTTACAAGGCACGAGTCACGCGGGCTACGTATCTTGGCCAGCTCCAGTGGCAATGCACCACCAGCGCAGTATAGAAAAGCCCCAACCACTTCTGTCTCACTCCTACTCTTTGGGGCGAATGCACGTGGCCCCGTAAATTGCCTGGCATTTAATTATCGCGAGTGGGCTGCACTGAGCTGGTACCCCAAACGCGCCTCCGCTACCCTTATATTCCCCGGGTCTTTGCTTCGTGCATGCAAATGCGGGCCCGCGAGGCACCGCTAAATTAGACACCTGTGCTTTCTCTCAGCAACGGATCGCGCTCGAGTGGTGCTTCTGTACGTGCTGGTTGTATCCCTCCGGCTCTTTTGGCCCCCACTTGCGCTGTGCTTGGTTACCTGCACCGCTTGCATGCGACGAGACTTTCCGTCCTCTTAAAGCGATGCTAACTGGCGTGACATACTCTGCACGGCACAACGACGGGGATGACACGTATGGGCACGAACGCTTACGCATAGCCGTGGGCCTCCAATTAAAAGCCCCTACCACTGTACAAGGTGGGTACCGTCCACTTTATTCTTCTCTCTGCTGAGTGAAGCACTCACACGTACTGTACTTTTTCGCTCTCTTTCAAAGCTTTTTTTTCACAGCTGAGAGCTTTTCGTTGTCTTTCACCTTGTTGTTCTCATTTTTTGGCTCTCTGAGCGAGACCCTCGGTGTGATGCATGGGACCAACGAGTGCTCTTGAATACTGTCTTTCTCTTTACCGTGGCTGACTGAGTTTTTGTCACCAAGCCTCTCTTGGATTTCTCCTTAAACTTTTTTGCGTCGTAGTTTTTTTCCTTGCCGAAGCTTACAGCTTTTACTAGCACAAGCGTTTTTTCAAAAGATTAAATGGAAATCACTTGATTTAAGGAGACTACAAGATAAAATAGAAGAGCGTTCAGCGCATCGAGTACTGTACAGCTGCTTCGAAGCTTTAGTTTACCGTAGAAATGCTATATATAAAAGCAGTGTCAGCCTCAGGATCTCAAACGTCCATATCGATGTGTTAAGCTTTCGTTCCTTTTTACAACAACTTGTGTTAAGTGTAAAATTAAAAAAGTGAAAAAGGAAAAAGAATTGATTATGTCTCATCTAATTATTAGAAAAGATCACTCAATTTTATAGATGACATGGATCACGTGCTTCAATTTACTATTCAGTGTCAGTAACTTCAAATGAGCTGATACTGATCTATGGTATATATCATCACTTTCCAGGCCACCAACCTACGTATAGCTCGACTAACTACCATAAAATGTAGAACAGCTGCACCACAGCTTCAAATCAAACATTTACACTTTTCGAGAGAGGGATATAATGGTCCTAGTCGTCTTTGT